TTAAAGGCCAAAACATCTTGGTCTTCATATCTTATATTCATTTTTTTTATTTAGCCAAACATGTGTAGAACGAATTAATAAAAAAAATCACCTTATTGGTTAATCGAACTCATCAGAAGCTGAGAAACTCACCGTAAGGCCTGCGCATCAGATGGTCGTAGGCCAGGCGACCTTGTCCAGATCGACGCAATCTGCATGGCCTGTTTACTCCAGAATTCGTTTCGCTACCAATGCTTCCATTGTCAACAACTTTTGCTCCGATCGGCTCTTTTGCAGCTGCCTCTAAAACAGCAGCATTGTCTGCGTGCACAAGAAGAATACGAGCAGTGCCTAGGGATAGCTGGCTGGCAGCCAGATGTAAAGCTGTAGCTCCTTCGGCTTGTCGCGACCGGGCAGAAGGATCCGCATCCCGGCGTAACAGGAGACTTGCCAACTGAGGGCAATCAAAGTAAGCGGCGTAGTGAAGTGGCGTGAAGTCTGTCCAACCGCAACGAGCCTCGATACTGGCGCCAAGATCAAGAAGGTGCTCGGCGATCCTGAAAGGATAAGAATGAAATTAAATGAAATCTATAATGATAAGGAGCCTGCATTATGAAAATGTTTATTACAAGCAGAGTGAAGTAAGGAGACTAGAAAATTTGTTGGCTAAAAACAGTTATCTATCCGGATAAAATTATAATTAGGATTGTTAGCAAATAGGATGGAGGGGAACATCTATTTGGGGCAAGACAGCAGGTTGGACTGGTCTAATAAGGTCATGATATTACCATTTTGTTCGATTACTAAAGAAATGGTAGAAAAATACAAGGTAACAATAATTTGTTGTGAAGACTTTGACTTCGTATGGGAGTACATGATAAAGAGACTCGTAGGCCAATCTCACCAGAAAATATATAAAAAGAGGCTGGGTTTCGAATAATCCCTTAATACATTGATACTGGCGTACCTTTCATTTCGTTTGAGGAGGCGGGTCGAAGGGATTTGTAGATTGGCCTCACCAGATACCGCAAAAGGGTTGCCTTGGACTTTTGTCTGTTGAACGGTGCGAATAAAGCCTTGGTTCACCGTCCTAACACCCCGATGACTCTGTGCTGCGCTTCAGTTCCTTATATGGCGGACATCGTCAGAGCCAGAAAGCATTATTCACAATAAAATCACCAAAAACACTAAACGGAGAAAGGTGACAGGCTGGGATTCTACCTACTTCTATTATACCTAATTTTGCGATCTTAATGAGGCATTCCATGATTTGGTTGGCTGACGTATGCTTGTCTTACGTGCCTGTAGGAGGGTCAAAATGATGCAGACAGGGGAGCGCATTTGTTCACAACTTTTCTCTATGTGAACAAACTAGATTATGATCCAGTAGTCCTGGGTCTTGTTACACCTTTGTGGATGCGTATTTGTGTGTGTATGCAATAACCCCGAGTTGGTTGACAATTTTAGGTTCAAAATAGGCTCCAGTTTAGTCTGGTCTTCTCTTCTTATTCAGTGGTTCTTCCTGCTCTCTATTCTTCTCTCTCTCTCTCATTCTATTTAGAAGGCAGAGATAGTTCTTACTTAGTTTCATACATTCGTTCCTCTTATTCAGGATGTTCTTTGTTTTATTAATTTCAATTGACTCTGATCTTCAGTTTAGCTGTGAAGTCCCCATATCCGTCAAAACATTAGGATTTAGATCACTCTATCTGGTGTTCGGTAGCGACAACATGTTCAGCCCCTAACGATTTCTGAATCCATAAACCTTTGCAGACGATTATTTGTTCTGATAGCCTCTTATGTATGGGTCGACAAGTCTCCACCACATAGACACTATCAAATTAGCACAAAACCTTATTAGAACCTGATCTGCAGAGGGCGTCGGAAGATTATCTAAAAGAAGGCATGATCGAGGAAAGCATTATCATCTCTCTATACCTTGTTCTGACACTCCATTTCCTAAATAATTCGCCCATCTAACTTAAAGGCTTTCAGGATGGTAGTAAGTAGGATCTCAGGTGGCCACCTTTCTCGGTTTAGTGTATTTCGGTGATTTTCTCGTGAATAATGTTTTCTAGCTCTGACGATGGCAGTCACATGACGGACGAAAGCTCAGCACGGAGACATTGGGGTCGTAGGATAGTGAGCCTGGGTTTTCTTCGCATAGTTCAACAGACAAAAGCACAAGGCAACCCTCCTGTGGTATCCGATGCGGCTAATCTACGAATCCCTTCAAACCGCCTTCTCAAACTAAATGAAAGATACGCCAGTATCTCACCAGAAGACGTCGGCCGGCTCTCATTGAACTGCAATCCACGGGATATCCTCCAACATTTGGGGCGAAGATGGGCCGAGCTTTCGTTTGTCAGAACTGAGAATCATTCTTACAAAGGCCTTAAGTTAGCAATAATTTAAGAAGACTGACCGGCCTTTTTTCTGTATGATATATATACTCATTGCGAGCAAAATATATATATAGATGGATATACAGAGGTTTGGTTAATTCATGTATACTCTAGTGTGTCTGTGCGTATGCATGTTAACGTCTATATGCAAAACCGGTCAAATCTTGAAGTAATTAGAAAAAGCTTAACATCAGACCCGGGTCATCAAGGCTTAATGACCCAAGGAAAAAAGGAAAAAAAGGTTGACCGAGAATGTGTTAGTGCGTAAATAACCATGGGTAAATTGATGAGATGTAAGACTGTAAACGTAAAAGTCAGGTTACGAAAATACCGTTAGTCTGCGTCATTAAGGTTTAAAAACCCAAGAAGCTTGGTTGGGATCGCGTAGCCCCGCACGTCTGTTTTGGCCGATGAGCATGACATCTCTGTTGAACGAGTGCTAAGTTGGTTAGAATCCGCACTTAGCTGATAAATCGAGTCGTATTCTTTTGGAGTGCAGCTTAACAGTTTATCTCTCTCTTTCAATATTTCAATCAAGCACAAGTAATTCTTACTCAACTTTCTACCACCATTCCTCGGATTCATAGTATTCCCTAATCTATTAATTTCAATAGTCCCTCTTATCTTGCGTTTCGTAGAAAACATACCATAATCGGCAAACCTCTGCATACGAGACCATTCTATCTCATGCCCAGTCATCGTCATGTGTTCCATCACTTCTGACCGTTCAATCCAGCTGTCTTCACGAGCATTTTTGTGCTACATTAATCTTTGGCGGATTGGTCGACAAATCTCACCAACATAAGTTCGACCACAGGAGCACAATCTTTCAATAGCCGGATCTTGATAGTGGGTCATATTTCTCTCTAAAAGAAGGCATAACCGAAGAAAGTATTAGAGTTTCTTTGAAAATTGTCTTATCTCCCACCTCTTCACTAGTTCTCATATCTTCTTAGAAAGAAAACATGACGGCAAGATTAGAAAATGAGAAAGGGTTTGGCTTGCATATCTCTGACCAAATAATCTACACCTGAGAATTTATTCCTCATTAAAGATATATCATTATCAATTAAGCCTAAAGAATAATAATTATCTAGGAGTCAAAATAACCTCTTGCATTAAGCGCTCCTCAAACTTTGTCACGTAGTTATTCGTCATAATTGGAGTTAATCTAGAATCCATTGCAAGTCCTTGTGTCTGCTCATAAAACTTGCCGCCAAAGGTGAAATATATACTATTCATGGATAGGTAAAGGAGCCTTAGAATGGAGGCTATATTCAACTTAATTCCCTCTGTAATATCTGAGACTCCTCCAGGGTGAACATTAGAACCTGAATAACTTCTTGAACGGGAGTATTTGTGTACATTGATATCGCGTCAAAACTTACTAATATATCTTCTTGTGAAATATTTTGCATGTCTACTAGTTTAACAAACTCATAAGAGTTTTTACGGAAATAAGCAAAATTTAGTCACTTTTCTTAATTGTTTGCATAAAAAACGTGAGATTTTATACATAACTACACTTATTGTTAACATTCAATTTAAAGGGAAACCCTTCGTTATGGGCCGATGGTACCATAGCTTCTCTTTGAAGTAGGGAACTCATTTTCTATTCCTCCATTTTATCGCTGCTTAAGCAAATCTTAAAAGCATCTCTTAGCCTAGTTTTAGGTCACTCTATAGGAGCTTTCATTAAAGGCTTATATGCATCAATGTCATTTAAATGCACAAACATTTCCTTTAGATAACTTGATCTATCCAAGACTTCCACTGCTTCACCCTTGTCGGTTTTCATAACAATTAGATTATTAAGAACTAAATATCTAGATACCTTGCTCAGAACAAATGAATTCTTTGGCGTAACTACCTGGTCTAATGAAGAATCATCTCCTGCCCTATACTATTTTTGACTTGTTTAGATAATCTACCTGATAAGCTAATTAGCTTATTAGAGGGACCTTCATTTCGTATGAAAGTGCATGAAGAAGAGATTC